ATAAATGTAAGTATACATCTATTTATTTAAAGATTCACACACGTGTTTAAGCACAACCTTCAAAAGGCAGATCCTGAGCCTATAACAGACAGCAATGGCCCCACTAAATTCCAGAGACTAACAAACAAAAAGCCCAGTTTCAGGAAAGCATTACTTCCTTTGGAGTGGCAGACCAGTAAGGTCCCACAAACCCACACACAGTACAGGCTACTGCCAACGCTCCTGGTTACCCACCAGAACTTGACGGCTCTCCTGCTGGAAATGCCACAGACCTGAGTCACAGGACATGGGGAAATCAAGTAGTACTGACCTGGGAGCTTCGTTCTTACTAAATAGCTTCTATAGCACTGAAAGATGCCATGCATTTTACCAGAGGAGCCAGCGGTGAACCCTGTGAGCTACAATAACAACTGGTCTGGCAAGACATGCCCACTGGTGCAATAGTGGCAGGAAGGTCATGGGAGGAACCAATCACTTTCTGGTTGGATTTAAGGCCCATCCCATAAGTTGAAACCCATATCTAGTATTATTAGCCAATAACCTGTGGCTAGATAGGTCACAGGCCTTAGGCTGAAAAAGAAAAAAATTTCAAAGGCACAGTTACTTATTTAAGAATAGATGGAGGACTATAGGTGCAAGGCAGTGGGATAGGGTGCTTGCCTAGCAAATGTGAGGCCTTGGGAAGAAGAAAGAAGAGGAGGAGAAAAGAGAAGAGGAAGCAGAGGTAGGGGAAGAGAAGCAGCTATAGAAAAATGGAAAAAAGAATCGTGTCTCTTCCTGTACATCAGGTACTCGAGGAGAGCCCTCACTATAATTCCTTCCTGTCTTTTCCCCTCCCTATAAACCAGAATTAGGTTCTGGGGACAGTTGGGATCTTGATGTCTGGCTACAATTCCTTTTATTTCTGGTTTCTGGAGACTCTTTAATTGTAACAGAGGTAGATCAAAGAAAACAGAAATGCTGGCTATAAGGGACATCAATACCAGACGCTCGTGGAAACCAGGGCAGAGTCATTGACAAGAGACAGCCCAGCCAACTCTCAGGGGAGGCCATGGAAGAACCTCCTCCTTGGGCTTCTGAGTCTTGCTAGTACTGCCCAGCGTCTGAGAAGGCAGATGGGGAGTTCTGTGGCTGGGATGGCAGCCTGGCTCACCAAGAAGAGGTGTCGGTCCTGAGCGGTGCCGTTCTTGGCCGACAGTTTCTGGATGTTGCCCTCCTTGATCAGCTCATTGGCTGGGTTGACGATGTCCTCTTCCCCACCCAGCTGCTCGTACACCTCCAGGAGCTTGTGCATTTTCTCCTGCAAGGGGACAGGAAGTTGTGGCAGCTGCAAGGTCGCACAGGCTGCTTCGGACCTAGAGGTGAGCAGAGCCGTGCTCTGCAACTGTCACTCAGAGCCCGACGCAGCAATGGAATGACCACTTGTGAGAAGGGAAGGAAACGCAGGGTGACGATTGAGCCGAATAATAAAGGTGACTGGAAAACCAACATTCGGAGAATCACAAACCTCTGCAAGCTCTACGAGGCGAGTGGCATTGTTATCCCGAGTTACAGACAAGGAAACTGAGGCACGTAGGGATCAGCTGAATAGCCATGACCCAGACTGGGCCAATCCACATATCGCGTTCCCCAGGCCCGGTTGGGGTGACATGATGCACAACGATACATTGGGGACAAGGTTAACAGTTCATGGCCCCTACTCAAAGTAGAACGGAGCCACGGTGTCCTGTCCTTGGACTTGCAGAAATTACAAGTGTACCTAGAGTGGGCAGCTCAGGCTGGCCCTTTATGTTTCTTGTATGGATCCCAGAGATGCTAGTGGACCAAACAACACAGGATGCGTGGGACCCTGGAGGGCAGGGAAGAACCCATGGCCTTGCAGGAGCTGGCAGGTACGGAGAGGGGTAGTATATATAGGTGTAGCCATGGCGTGTCCTGGCTTGTAGTGGGAAGGTGGGTGTGGTAGAAAGAATATAACTGGCTCCCATTAAGCTCACAGGAAGTGGCTGTAATAGGAGGTGTGGCCTTGTTGCATCACCGTGGAGGCGGGTTTTGAGGTCTCTTTTTTGCTCACACTCTGCTCATTATTGACACTGAGACCACTTCCTGTTGCCTTCTCGAGATGCAGCTAGTACCACGTTTTGTCTGCACGCTGCCATGCTCCCCGCTGTGATACTAATGGACTGAACCTCTGAAATGGTAAGCGAGCCACCCCAGTTAAATGTTTTGCTTATAAGAGTTACTGTGGCCATGGCATCTCTTCACAGCAATAGAAACCCTAAGACAGAGGGCATATGCCTTCTTGCTTTGTACAGAAAGAGGCTGAACCTGCACTTGGTATTACCAGGGGGTACTGGGGATGTGCACCTGGCATGTCCTGGGGAGACAGGGTACACATGTGCTCACTGATGGGGCCCACCTGGAATCGGGGTAAAGGTCCTCCCTGCCCCCGACCCTTCCTGCTAGCTTTGCTTCCCCGCAGCAGACTGCACTCACCATCTTCCTGATGGCAGCGTTGGAGTGGTCGGCAGCTGTGGAGATGAGCTCCAGAGACCCTGGATGGGGAGAACTGATTGAGAATAGGCACGTGGAAACGCCACAAGTTCTTACTGGAGAGGCGGACATTGAAATGGAGGCGTGGCTTCCAGTGGGAAGATTTGTTCCCGTTCCTTGCTCAGGGTGCCCAGACTGCTCCAGAGGTCTGGCCCAGAGAAGGGACAAAAGCCCAGAGCCACTTGCTGATCCTGCTGGGGCCCACACAAGTAGGACCCCTGACTCTCTTGACTCTCTTGCACAGCCCCCAGCAGCCCTGTGTTGCCCCCAGTTACATTGGTTATGTCACTTGAAATAAGAATGTCCTCACTGTGGGGCCCATTGCTGGATCCTAAGCTCTGAAGGGAGCCAGGGTTTGGCAGTGTCTTCCCCAGAGACAGCATCCTTTCGTATGATCTTTCTCCTGCCTTTGTGTGTCTCAGCCCAGGGTTCTCAGCCTCCTCCAGAGATTCCCCCTCATGGTGCTACACAGATGCACTCGGGAGGCAGAGGCAGGTGGATCTCTGTGAGTTCGAGACCAGCCTGGTCTACAGAGCTAGTTCCAGGACAGGCTCCAAAGCCACAGAGAAACCCTGTCTCGAAAAACCAAAAAAAAAAAAAAAAAAAATGGGTTAATCAAAGATATGAGAGCTAGCCAATAAGAGGCTAGAACTAATGGGCCAAGCAGTGTTTAAAAGAATACAGTTTCCGTGTAATTATTTCGGGTAAAGCTAGCCATGCGGGCAGCCGGGCACCAGGAACGCAGCCCGCCGCTCCTTCAATACTCAGCCTTGCAGTCAGGTCCACTTACTCTCAGCATCCTTCCGGTCCGGGGCATCCCTGGGGAGCCTCTTTAGGTAGTCTTTGAGCAGCAGCTCGTAGCGGGGGATTCTCTGCACAGGCTCCAGCATGTGATGCTGCAGTGTCAAGTTCCCACACACCTCCTGCTTCTGGGCGAACAGAGAACACACACAGGGTCACCAGCCTAGCCCCTGCTTCTGAGGGAACACACTCAGGGTCTCCAGCCTAGCCCCTGCTTCTGGAGGAACACACACGGGGTCTCCAGCCTAGACCCTGCTTCTGGGGAAACACACACAGGGGTCACCAGCCTAGTCCCTGCTTCTGGGGGAACACACACGGGGGTCACCAGCCTAGTCCCTGCTTCTGGGGGAACACACATGGGGTCTCCAGCCTAGCCCCTGCTTCTGGAGAACAGAGAACACACATAGGGTCACCAGCCTAGTCCCTGCTTCTAGCTCCTGGCGGTTGCCTGGAGCTGCCTGCTTTTCAAGACACAGTTGGCACAGACCACAGGTGCCTACGATGGAGGGAGAGCTGCAACTCTTTGGGTGAGCAAGTTAGAGTTAAAGAAAACAAGTGCCAGGACCAGGCCTCCCCCCACAAAAGTGATTCCCACCCCTATCCCATCCTTGTCACCCTCAGGTCCACTTCCTCTGTTTCAGGTGGAGGCCATCTGTGCCTAGCTCCCCCCACACAATAAACGGAGAGAGCAGGTGGGGGCAGGAAGGCCTAGCCCTGTGTTGTCCCCATACTCCACACCTCCCCTCCTCCCTCCAGATCACAGCTTCCCGTCTGCCACACTTTAGAACCTTCTTGGCACAGGCATCAGGAGTCTACACCCTTGACCCTGCACACCAGCCTGCCAGCGATGACTGCCAGACGCCATTGCCTCTTCGTTAGCCGTGGGCTCTCCTGCCATGCTGCCTGGTTCATCTGCCTCTGCCATGTTGACAGCTCAGAGAGCCTGCTGTTTCTCATCCTATCCACTGCCCTGCCTAGAGCAACCTCAGGGCTCCGGCTACCCACACCTTCCTCAGGTCCCAGAACAAAACTGGTAGGATGGGCTTTAACTCTTTTGGGTCTAACAGGTTAACAGGTTCTGGGGATCTGAACTCAGGTTCATAAACATAACATTTTACCCACTAAGCCATCTTCCCAGCCCCTAAAATAATTAGGGTTTTTTTTTTTTTTAAGGCAAGATTTCTCTGTGTAGCCCTGGCTGTCCTGGCCTCGAACTGAAAGATCCACTTTCCTCTGCCTCCTGAGTGCTGGGATTAAAGGTGTGCGCTTCCATGTCTGTCTTTGTTTTCTAAATGGAGGTTGCGCTTATGAAAAAAGAATCTGAGTATTGGTGCTGGAGAAATGACTCAAAAGTTAAGAGCACTTACTGCTCTTGTAGAAGACCTGGGTTCAGTCCTAGCAACTGCTCAGCTAATGACCGCCTGTAACCCTAGTTTCAAGATATCTGACATCAGCTCTGAACTCCTTGAGAACCAGACATGAATAGGGTTCACAGACATACACGCAGGCAAAACACTCATACATAGACAATTTAAGAAAATCTGAAAAAAAGTCTGGGTGTCATGGTGCTTGCTTCTAATCCCAATTCTGGAGAGGCAGAGATAAGCAGATACCATTGGCTAGTGTGCCTAGCAGAACCAGTGAGCTCTGGGTTCAGTGAGACACCTACCCCAAAACATCAGATGGGGAGTGACAGAAGGCACTTGACCTCAGCTGACCTCTGACCTCTGCTTGTACATACATATATGAGCATACCCACATACACACATACATGTTCACGGGCATATACCAGAGAGAGAGAGAGAGAGAGAGAGAGATTCTTTCAAGCAAGAACCAAGGGAAGATGCAGGGAATGGATGTTCACAGGGCTACAAGTTATCTCCCTGCTAGGAAATCATGAATAGAGGAAAACAAAACAAAACAAAACAAAGGGCTTTGCTCCAGCGACACTCACACAGAGGCACAGCCCCAACTGAATCATGGAAAAACCGCAGAGAAACCCAAGCCAAGAGGCAGCCAGTTCCCTCAAGAGGATAAGGACAGAGCGTGTCCTAGGGAAGGACTTAGCCTGGTAATGAGAACAGTGCCAGTGCGTAGTCCTGGACAGAAAACTTAGAAGTGCATCGCCGGGATCGTTGGTGACTGTGTGGGCTGTGAGGTGACAACAGCTGTGGCAGCCATGTGAGCTTCTTGGTTTCAGCCAGCACTGTGGATGTGTGGGAGACACCCTCCTTCACACTTAGCCCTGACCTGCAGTACTGTCTGCAGATGAGTTTCAAAAGGCAGTAACCACCGTGCGTGCATGGAGATCATGGCGCAGAAGGTCTGGACTGTCTGCGAGTTTGTCCTTTTGTGGTCAGGCCTGGGTGTGCTGTGCGCATGCATATCTCTGGCTGAAAACCGAGTTTCCTCTAGGCTTGCCCATCAGTCCCAGAATCTACCTGTCACGTGACCCTGCCCTCGGCCACTGGCACGTGACACCATGCCTGCCTTCACCTGGTGCTAGAGATCCAAACTCTCTTCTTGGCTCTTTCTCTAGTCTTAAGTTGGTCATTTTACAAACTCTTAGTAAACGTTTGGATTTTAAGGCCTATAATTTAAAATATGCGTTGGATCAAGCAAAGAATTCTCCAGAGACCAAGGGAAATCTGATGGTCATTTGTTTCCATTTTGTCCAGGTCAAGGCTTCTCAAACCATGCAGGAGAATTTTCTGTTGTGGGCAGTTCTGTGCACTGTAGGCCCCAGATTCTAACCTCCAGATACCAGAAGCAACACGAGTGTCAACAGACACAGTCCAGGTCTTTGCTGAGAATGGCTAAATTGTGTTGAGGCCTAGGGACAGAACCATGGCTGTGTCTATCAGGAAGTATTCCCAGACAGTACCCACTGTTCAGGGATAACAGAATGCTGAGGTGGTCAATACAGACAAATTGTCATCCCAATCCTGTATGTGCTTTGTCACCTGAGGACCTGCTGGACCTGAGAGCCTGGTCTGCCCTGTGTGGACAGGGACAGTGGTGTGTGGTCAGGTTGAACACTGCCTCACCCTCTGGAGGGAGATGTGCGTGGAACTCACAGCTGATGTGGGGTTCCCCTCATGCTATGATTACCATTAATGAATAAAAGCAGAGCTATAGGGGAACAGAGCTAGGCGGGGAAAACCAAGCAGAATGCTGGGAGAAAGAAGGTGGAGTCAGAGAGAAGCCCTGTAGCACTGCTGGAGACGGATGCTGGAACTTTAGCCAGTAAGCCACAGTCACGTGACGATACACAGATTAATAGAAATGAGTTAAATTAATATGTAAGAGTTAGCCAATAAGAAGCAGAGCTAATGGGCCAAGCATTGATTTAATTAATACAGTTTCTGTGTGATTATTTCTGGGGTTTGGGTGGCCAGGAAATGAACAAATGGCCAAGTAGCCTACTACTACACACAGCACAGACGAGTCTTGTACTACGCACTTGTGTGAGGAGTTAGTGCCACCGCTTCTCTAGAGGCCTGGGATGACGATGTAGCTGCTCAAAAGCATGAGGACCTGAATTCCACCCCAAAACCCATGTAGAAAAGCCAGGCATGCTGATGCGGACCTGCAATCCCAGCACTGCATAAGCCAGGTGTGGTGGTGCACACTTGTAATCCCAGCACTCAGAAGATGAAGTTCAGGGTCAACCTTAGCTACGTAGGGAATTCAAACCAGCCAGGTCTAGAGACCTTATTTTGTTGTGGAAAGTTTATTTGTTTGTTTGGTTTTGTTGTTGTTTTTTTGATTGTTTGTTTCTGTTTTGGACATGGCCCTAGTACATAGTGCTGTCTGGTCTGGAGTTTGCTATATAGACCAGGCTAGACTCAAACTCACAAAGATTCACCTGCCTCTGCAGTCACCTACCTGGATGCTGTGGACGACTTCACTAAACTGCGGAGAACGCTGGGTCCATGTGCTCACCAGCCCCATTGCCCTGTCAAAGTTCTTGACATACTCGCCATACATCTTCAGGAACGGAGCCAGTTTCTGCAGGATGTCTCCGAGCCGAGGGTTTGTGTCCCTGTGTGGAGAAGCACAGTCGTCAGATGAACAGTCTAGGTGGAGTGGGGATGGCGAGTAATCTCTGATGGTCACCCTCCCAGATTGTGGCGCAGAAAACAGTGTTTCTGGACATTAGGAGAGGGTTTCTCTAAGCACCTCCACAGCACGGGCTGAGGCCCAGAGCCCAAACACAGGGTCCTCACAGAGGTGCTGCCCTCAAGTGGCAGACGGCGGTTATCAAAGATGGTCAGTGAAGAGCCATTCCAAATGAACACAGGTTAGAAATGACAGCTCTGTGCACTGGCACCAAAGCCACGGAGAGAAGACTTTGCAGGACTGCAGCCACCTTGAAGTCACCCGTGCTCACTGCTTCTACTAAGTTGGGACTGGGTGGAATCCACTTTTTAATTTTTTACAAAATTTCTCAGTCTGTCCTTGGAGTCCTATCTTAGGTAAGTAGGTATTGTTCACATCTCCATGGGAAAAAATTAACATAGTAATTTTTGACCTTAGCACTCTTTTTTGGAGATTTATCCTTAGTGACTACCAAAAGAAGAGGAAAAAGGCACAGGTACAAAGCCACCACTTGGTGCTCCTAGGAAGCTGTACCAACGATTGATGTCATAAATTGAGTAACTGGGGATGCAAGGCAAGCGGCCCTGTGTCATCATCGTCACAGGACTACAGAGATGCTATGTGGAGCCAGAATTCCAGAGCACAGAAGGAAGTAAGCCTGTGCTGCCAGACACGGACTTTGTCACCAGAAGTCTATGCCCAGCTCTCAGCACCTTCAGGACACAGTGCCACCTGCTCCACAGCTTCCGAAGATTCCCAAAGTGGCCCAGTCACACAGAGACAAAGATGACAAGACACCCTCACAACCACACAAGGCAAAGTCAGGAGACACGAGGAGCATGCAAGCCCTGCAAAGGAAGGCAGGCAAACTTCAAACTTCCCAAAATGCAGGGGGTGCAATGGTTAAAGCCAGTGGACCTCTCTCTCCTGCGCCACTGCACTCCTTATGGCTTGTAGCTCTTGCTAAAATAGGCAAAAACCGAGGGGCACAGAAAGCAGAGGACCCAGAACCACTCCCGAAGATAAGGTTCTTTTTTTTTTTTTTTTTTTTTTTCTGAGACAGGATTTCTCTGTATAACAGTCCTAGCTGTCCTGGAACTACCTCCAGTAGACCAAGTTGGCCTTGAACTCACAGAGATCCACCCGCTCTGCCTCCTGAGTGCTGGGATTAAAGACATGCACCACCACCACCAGGCAAGAAGGTTCTTTTTAAAAGCAAAGGTAGAACCAGGCTGAGAGGAAAATAAAATCATCAGTATTGTTCACTGTGCTGCTTCCAGATGTCAGATCTCATCTAGATCCACAAGCTAAGAGACGCCCAAGGCCCAGTCAAAGCCACCAGCCCGGTCTCAGCCAAAGGAGGCACTCAGGCCTCCAGGTGACAACCTCCACCCCCAAGAACCTGTCAGGCTGCCAGGCAGAAGAACTCAGGTTTATGGACCCTGTGGGTGGCCATGGACCACACTCACCATTCCTCCGTGATCCTCTTCTGCAACTCAGGCAGGAGGAACTGCCCATGGAAGCGGTAGATGGAGGAGATGTTGGAGAAAATGCCAGTGGTCACTTCTGGAGGGATCCCTGCTTCCGTCATCTTGGTGCAGAAAACCTGAGCACAGAGAAGCCCACAATGGCCCCTGAATATGAGCCAGCCAGACACCTGCACAGGAGTGGGCTCTTGGGTTCCTTTTTTTTTTTCTTCTGACCTCAAATTCACAGAAATCCACCTGCCTCTGCCTACCCAGTGCTAGGATTATAAAGATCAGCCCCCATGATTAGCCTGGCATTTTTACATGAGTTCTAAGCATCAAACCCAGGCCCTTGAGCACAAAAGGCAAGGACTTTACTGACTGAGACACATCAGACCCCAGCGTCCATTCATGTGTTCAAACAATACATCCTCCATGAAGAAATGTCCCCCAAAGAGAACATACTGAGTTCTGCCCCAGAGCCACAGCGCTGAGAACAAAATGTTTTTTCAGTCCAGACTTCACTTTATCTGAATTTTAGTATTTGTCAATTCATACTCTATGCATAATAACTAAACAATATGAAGGGATGTATAATCTGAATTCGGGGCATGGAGAGAAGGGGATCCCCAGCCCTATGGGCTACCTGGTCCAGCAAGTGCAACCGCCTCACGTAGGCTTCCTCCGTGTGCAGGAGCTCCTGGGCAATGTGCAGCAGCTTCTGTGGGTCAGAGCACTGCAGAGAGAAGGGAAGTCACTTACTTGGGTGGAGGGGTACACCTAACGAGGCTACCCACAATACACCAGGATGCCCAGGGGCAGAGAGAACTGAAGGAGGATCCTGGTTTTCAGATGTGGTATTTGGTTCTCTTAGATGCTATTTCCATGGAGTGTTCTAGAAAAAGCACAGCAGTTTCTGCCAGTCTCCCCAAAGCTACTACAGTACAGATGGGCCAGTTCTGTTTCTGGACTTTTAACTAGGGAGCAGCCATAGCAACCATATGAGAATCCAATGTACAGGTGGGGTGCAGTTCAGTGAAAGAAAATTTGCCTACCATGTTCAAAACCTGTTTCCATCAGTAGCAATGAGCGTGCACGCGCGCGCGCACACACACATACACACACACACACACACACACGTCCTACTATGATGTGGAATATTTAACATATAAATATGTGTTATGCCAGGTAATGTTACTTTAATTGTGTAAAGGTGTGTTACATTTGTTTATGCTGCATTCGTTAAATTATATAAAGATGTGCTGCCATTTCACCTTGTCAGCCTAAGGCACCTGATTGGTCTAATAAAAAGCAGAATGGTCAGTAGATAGGTAGGAGATGGATAGTTGGGGCCAGTGGACAGAAGAGATAAATAGGAAGATAAATGTAGGCAAAGAAGAAGGAGGAGGGGAGAGGGACACGCCTGGGGCCAGAAGCCAGGCAGCTGTCATCACACATGGAGACAGTAGGAAAGTAAGATATATAGGAAGGAAGGAAGGGAGGGAGGGAGGGAGGGAGGGAGGGAGGGAGGGAGGAAGGAAGGAAGGAAGGAAGGAAGGAAGGAAGGAAGGAAGGAAGGAAGGAAAAAGCCCCAAGGCAAAATGTAGATAAAGAGAAACAGATCAAAGTAAGAGCTAAGACAAAGCCAAGCTAAGGCCAAGCATTCAAAACTAACAAGTCTCCCAGACATGATTTGGGAGCTGGTTGGTGGCCCCCTTAAAAGCCTACTACATTACTGCAAAGGGACATCAACAAGACAGTAAGCTGCAGGTCCTCCACAGAGACACAGATGAAACAATATACGAACCAGAAAACCTATGAGATTTGGAGACACGAACTGAGCAACCACGGCACCTACAGGTGATGCCGAGAAGGGAATCCCTGGGGAAATGGTGGCACTGGGTGTGCCTGAGGTAGTCTAATTGTTTGGCAGATAACAAAATGCCCGTGAGTGTGTAGTTTATAAACAACTGAAATGCATTCCATGGCTATGGAGGCTGGAATTTCAAGCTCAAAGCACCGGTGGTTCTGGTGTCTGGTGAAATCACAAGTCTCTGTTTCAAAATGGTGACGCTAATGCTTGAGCTCACAGTGCGGAAGGGGCGGATAGGTGAAGAGGGGCGAGTGCTGCGTCCCCAAGTGACAGAAGAACAGAAGGAAAGGCACTCACGAGCTCCTCCCTGATCCCTATTTTATTGTTAGTACTGGGGATTGAACTCTGCCCTGACCACACCCTGAGGCAAGCACTCGGCAGCTGGGCTACTTCCAGGCGTTCCGCTCCCTTCTGTGGGGACACTGATTCTATCCTCATTTCTTAACACCTCCTAAAGGCTAACCATGAAACAGACTATGATGTAAGTAGTATCACATTGATGACATGACTCTAGCAGGTGGGGCTGGAGAGATGGCTCAGAGGTTAAGAGCATTGCCTGCTCTTCCAAAGGTCCTGAGTTCAATTCCCAGCAATCACATGGGGACTCACAGCCATCTGTAATGGGGTCTGGTGCCCTCTTCTGGCCTGCAGGCATACAGACAGAATAAATAGATATTTTTAAAAAAAGACTCTAGCAGGTGACTTTTGGGGTGCACATTCGGTCTATAGCAATGCCCTGCAGCATTCCTCCCCTTATGCAATATGACACAGAACAAATGGGAGGGAACCTCCACACCAGGGCTCCTCCCACACCAGGACTAGGTCTTCAGGGCAGAAACAGAAAACAGGCACTGATAAGTCGGGCTCCTCAGAGCTCCACCCAGGGGACTTGGGACTATGAACTCTGTCTTGAGAGAGAGCAGACGAACCCAGAACTAGAGTGTGAAAGTCACTGAAAACAAAAGCACATTAGAATTCCAGTTCCACAGGCAGACGCTCTGAGATCCCCGGCTGTGTTGATGGGGGAAGTCTTCACCTAAAGCACAATCTGGAGGGATGGTTTCTTCAGATGCCTCCACTCATCCAAAACTAAAAGCAACAAAAACCTTATAAACCATAAATAGAAGCAGGAGCATACGGCCCAATCAGAAGAAGGAAACAGCCCACGTGAAGTTAACCCTACAGAAATACAGATCTGAGACTAAACGGTGGTGGCTGGTCCCAGCACTCGGGAGGCAGAGGCAGGCGGATCTCTGTGAGTTTGTGGTCTACAAAGGGAGTTCCAGGATAGCCAAGATTGTTACATAGAGAAACGCTGTTTTGAAAAAAAGACAAAAAANAAAAAAAAAAAAAAAAAAAAAAAAAAAAAAAAAAGAGCTAGTTCCAAGATAGGTTCCAAAGCTATAGAGAAACCCTGTCTCAAAAAAAAAACAAAAACCAAACCAAAACAACAACAAACAAACAAAAAACAAACAAACAAACAAACAAAAGAATGAAGCAGACATTCTGGAATCTGAAGAACTCATAAAGAGGGTCCATCTAGACCTGAACAGACAAAAGAAACAGCAAACTTACAGAGAAGCCATTCAAACAGGCAAAACTGCTGTGATCGTCTCTTCTTTTGTATTTTATATGCATCAGTGTTTTTAGCAGCTTGTGTCTGTGCACCTGCGCATGCAGTACCCAAGGGGGCCAGAAGAGGGCATCAGATCCCTGGGAACTGGAGTTACAGAGGGTTACAAGCTGTCATGTGGGTGCTGGGAATCAAACTAGGTCCTCTGGAAGAGCCGCCAGTACTCTTAACGGCTGAGCTCTCTCTCTCCAGCACCACACCCTGCCTTTTTTCAAGATTTATTTGTTTTTATTTTATGTATACAAATGTTTTACCTGCGTGTATGTATGTGTATGTGTACTGGGTGTGTGCCTAGTGCCTGAAGAGGGCATCATATCCCTTGAAATTGAAGTTGTGGGTCATGGGAACTGAACTCAGGTCTTCTGCAAGAGCAACCAGTGCTCTTAAACCACAAGCCATCTCTCCAGTTCCCATAGAAGTCACTTAAAATCAGTCAGTGGAGAAAACCAAGAAAGAAGAGAGAAAAGCATAGGGATTCTAAAGGGCTTTCAGGACATCCATCTTCTGGTAGACCAAGATCTCCATATGGGAGTCACAAGGGATACGAGACAGAAATAATTTGCAGAAATGATAATGGGAGACTTCCCAGCCTTAGGAAATAAACGAATACACAAATCCAGAAGTTCAAAGAACTCCAACTAGACTAAGAAACCAGTCACCTAACTCGTGCTTATAATCCTGGCACTCATGAGGCTAAGGCAGAAGTATGATCCAGGTAAATACAGGGATATGCAGCCCCCCCACCCCCGACATACACACACACAACAGACTCATACATATTGCAGTGGTTTGAATAGGAATGGCTCCCATAGACTCATGTGTTTGGATGCTTGGCCCATAGGGAGTGGCACTATTAGGAGGTGTGGGCTTGTTGGAGTAGGTGTGGCCTTGTTAGAGGAAGTGTGTCACCATGGGGGCGGGCTTTGAGGTCTCAGGTGCGCAAGCTATACCCAGTGTGGAACAGTCTCCTGCTGCCCATGGGTCAGGATGGAGAACTCGCAGCTCCTTCTCTAGCACCATGTTTGCCTGCACACTTCCATGTTTCCAGTCATAACAGCAACAGACTAAGCCTCTGAAACTGTAAGCCAGCCCCAGTTAAATGGTTTTGTTTTGTTTTTATAAGAGTTGCCACAGTCACGGTGTCTCTTCACAGCAATAGAAATCCTAACTAAGTCAGGTGGTGGTGGTGTACGCCTTTAATCCCAGCAGCACTTGGGAGGCAGAGACAGGCGGATCACACTGAGTTCAAGGCCAGCCTGGTCTACAAAGTAAGTTCCAGGACCGCCAGAGATGTTACACATAGAAACTCTGTTTTAAAAAACGGAAAGGAAGGAAGGAAGAAAAAGAAAGAAACCCTAACTAAGACACATACTAATAGTAAATAAATAAAAAGTACATCTTTGGGGAGAAAAAGAATGGCAAGAACAGTCTTTCAAGTAGAGATGACAGGACAGGGCTGCAGATCTAGCTCTGTTGGTAGAGCCCTTGCTTAGTGCACAGGAATCTCTGAATTCGGTTCCAGCACCACGTAAACTGGCTGTAATCAGAGAAATGTTATACAGGTGAAACTGTGACATCAGGAAGGATGAAAAGACTGGAAATTTAAAATGTTTGACTAACAACCATGGTAGCCAGAAGTAAAACATCTACGGATATGCACAAAAGGAAAATGGAGGGAATCAAAGTATGTCACCAATGAAATAAATACAAAGAAAAAGGGTAAGAGAGGAAAGGAGAGCAAGAAAGTGACAAGGTTGCTACCTTAGGAGTGGCCTTCATGTCCTTCCCCATCAGTACTGACGTTAATCGTGTTAAACTCTTCAGAAAAAAAAAATACATAGATCTAATGAATGCCTGTAATCCCGGGAGGACTGGAAATGTGACACCAGGCAGGCGGGTTGGTCCTGGGGTACCAGGAATCAAGCAAACAACAATTAATTATGTTTAGTTTGTTTGGTTGGGGGCAGGGTCTCCTGTAACTCAGACAGGACTTAAACTCCCCGCATAGCGGCGGGTGAATTTAGGGTTCTAATTCTAGGATTGCTGGTGTGCACTATCACACGCCCTCTTTCTTGAATGTGTTGTTGTGGAATAAGCTTTTTGTACACTGTGAAGATTTGTCTCTCAGATCGGTTTAATAACAAGCTGAGCGTCCAATAGCTAGGCAGGATTTTCGGAGCAGAGAGGACACTGGGAAGAAGAAGGGTGGAGATGCGGAGAGTCGCCAGCCAAAGATGGAGGAAGCAGGGAAGCAGCATGGGCAGGACACAATAAAGGTGAAACGGGTTAATTTAAGTTATAAAAGAGCTGGTTAGAAACAAGCCTAAACTCTTGACCAAGCTTTCATAATTAATAATAAGTCTCTGTGTCGTGATTTGGGAAGGGACTGGAGAGACAGGAAAAAAAATCCACCTACATATGCTATTCACAAGAGACTCGTTTTGCATATTTGCATGTAAGAACATACAGGATGAAAGTGGGGGAAGATGGGAGAAGATATCATATGCAAATAGCAACTCTCCTGCAAAAAAAAAAAAGAGAAAGTGGCCTTATGTATAGCAAACAGAATTAGGTGTTTGCCACTAAACCTGATGACCTGAGTTCAGTCCTTGGGACCTACGTGTTGGAAAGAAAAGAACCCATTCCATTCCCATCCCTCTGACTGCCACACCCCCTCCACACACTAAATAAATAGCCATGTTTTTAAAAATTAAAAATAACTATAAAAACACAATAAAATGATAAAAAAGTCACCAAGACGATATAAAAATATATGAAGTAAATTGAACTACATTAGATGGAGAACTAACCAGCAACAAATTAATAGCCAGAAGCCCCAATACCCAGTTTTCTGTAACGATGGAACATCTAAACAGACGATCAGCAAGCAAACCGAGTCTTGGACAACACATAATGGTTCATCTGACATCAGTGTAACCTGTGATAGACCATGTGCTGCGTAAGACAGGGCTTAACACATTCAAGAAAGCTGAAATTATTCAAAATATCCTCTTCAGTCACAATGGAATAAAGTCAGAAAAAGGGGCAAATCCACAGATACAGGCATATTAAGTAACGCCGATGCGTTCAGGAAGCAGGGACAGGGAATCCCAGGACAGGCTGGTTAGCTACACTAGCCAAATGGGAGAACTGTATTCTCAAGGAGAGCTCCTGCCTCAATAAATACAGTGGAGCGTGGTCTAGGATGACTCCCAACGTCAGCTCAGGGCTCCGTACGCATTCCCACACAGGTGTGCACGTGCCTGGCCTGCATCCATGAGTATGCTCCCCACGTGTGAATACAGACACTCAAAAGACAAAGAAAGAAAGACGTGCGAGAATGTAGCTCAGCGACACAGCACTTATCTGCCATGTACAAGGTTCCCGGTTCCATTCCAAGCGTGGAAAAATTATATATATACACACAAACGAAATCTTAAAACAAGCTAACTGCACATATTGAGAAACTAGAAGAGCAGAGTAGGCTAAGCCCAAGGCTAGGCTAGAAGAAGGAAGGAAGTAAGAAAGATCAGAACGGAGATAAAAGACAAAGAATGGAAAAAACAATCTCAAAAGAGTAACCAAGCTAAAGTTGGTCTTAAAGGCTCAAGAAAGCTCACAAACTTCATCTAGGTTACCTTAGAGAGCAGAGAGGAGGCTCAGTCACCAAAGTCAGTGAAAGAAGGGCGGGATTGTTACAGCTGGTGAGGTGAAGGTACAGTTTATAAGATAAATGAGTAACTATGTGCTAACGGGTTGTACAGCCTAGAAAAAAAAATGAATCTTCAGAAATACTTGGCTATAAAGATTACTGAATCATGAAGAAATAAAAATATCTGGAGAAAGCAGTGAATAAGGACCTTGAATCAAAAATTCCCCATTTCCCAACAAAGGGTCAGGCACAGGCGGCTTTACTGACAAATTCTACCAAATTTTTAAAGGAGAATTAATAACTATCTATGAAACCTCTCTCTCTCTCTCTCTCTCTCTCTCTCTCTCTCTCTCTCTCTCTCTCTCTCTCTCACACACACACACACACACACCACATCAATTAAAAGAAACCACATTCAAGTGTCACGGATGAGCACACCCAGGGTATCTGGGGCCTCACCTGGCCTTTTCTGGTACACTCCATCAGAGGCATTCTCCTTGCATGGAGCGAGTGTGTGGGTACATTTCCTGAGCACAGGTGTGGGTGTTACACACTACAAATCTCTGTCACTGCCCAGGCACCCTGTGTTGGGTGTAAAGGAAGGGAAGCTTACCTGAGTCAAGCCGACATTCTCCTCTGGCCTGGAAGGGGTGATCTTAGGGTCAGGGTCCTCACCCAGGCCATTATCTTTCTCCTCCTGCGCTGTGGTATCTTGTGGGACTTGGCTGTCCACAGCTGTTTCAGGGTGTAGCCTCAATATGGCTGGGCCTGGGGAGCCCTCACTGCCCTCTTCACAGGGGAAGTTCTCACTGGCCACGCTGGAGGATGGACTGTCTATCCCACTGTCCCTGTTGGGGATCTTCATGGCACCACTTGGCTCCCCCAAGTAGCTGTCCCCTGCTGAAGCTGGGCTGCCAGGAGCCCCTTGGTGGGCACCTGGCCCAATGGGAAGTACTTTAAGCTTCTCCAGTGAGGAGCTTTTGGGCCCAGCACCTAGTACTCCAAGAGGGGCAACGGCTTCTTGGGGAGATGAGGAGCTCCCACCCAGTTCCATCTTCACAGCCAAACTTGCTGGGCTCTGCTCAGAGGCTGGCCAGGGACTTCCTGTTAAAGAGAAAGACGCAGGCTCGGTATGGTCACTGAAAGCAACCCTCAGAGAGCCAGCCTCAGTTAGACAGGGCAGGCTGGGGCTGTGTGGGAAATATCACTTCACAAAACCGCACTGGCCTCCGGTGGGTTCTATCCAGCCAGTCTTCGAGAGAATGGCAAAGAGAGCATGTTTTATCTGAAGAGTAAGGTTTTTACCAACATAAAAAAGTAATCCTGTCCTGGGGAGTCCGTGGGTAAAGAGCTTGCTGCCGGGCAAGCACGAGGACCCCAGTTCAGATACAGCACCGGCTTTAAAAGTCGGGTGTGGTGGTGCGTGACTGTGTGTGACTGTGCGTGACTGTGCGTGACATCCCTGCGCTGGGGGTGAGGGCTGTGGAGACAGCTGGATCCTCGGAACTCAATGGCCAGCCAAAGGAATGAGTTCTAGTGAGTAATCCTGCCTCAAAAAAATAAGAAGGAAGTTGGGCAGTGGTGACGCATGTCTTTAATCCCAGCACTTGCGAGGCAGAGGCAGGCGGATCTCAGCCAGTTCAATGCCGTCCTGGTCTACAAAGCGAGTTCCAGGACACCCAGGATTGTTACTCAGAGAAACCCTGTCTTGGAAAACATAAAAACAATAACAACAATAAAACATAAAAGACAGATGCTGATATGACCTTTGGCCCCTTCTCTCTGTCTCTGTCTCTCTCTCTGTGTCTCTCTGTGTCTCTCTGTCTCTGTCTCTCGTATACATAGATAAGGATATCCCACCCCCACCCACACAGAAGTTATCCTGTGGAATAGTGTGTGGCACAGCCAGCAGTAGGGTAGCAGCTTCCATTCACAACACACTGCTGTGTCCACACAGCTTTTTAAACCCTGGCATTCTCAGGAGACGAAGCCAATGACCTGGGCACTACAGGCAGTTCACGTGACACTTGTACACCGGACAGGAGACAAAGTCAAGTGTCAATTCTCAGAGCTCAAGGAATTGGTCAACAGCTCTAGGAGGGTCAAAGGTGAGACTCAACTAGAGGGAGAGAGACCGTCCCTGAAATCATCTTCTTGAGGCTAAGTACCGCTTCAGACGATCAAGGGGGCTGCAGACAACAGTCTCTTACCTGTTACCCGATGCTGTTGCCCAAAGAGGCAGTCAGAGATTGACTGGCAGGTGCCTGCTTCCTCCTGGGCTGTGGGACTGCCCAACAGAGGCTGGCAGAGTCTATAGAAAATTTCTTCCCCAGACCATTGGAAGTGGAGATGTTTAGACAATACTGGAAAAACACAAAAGAGAATGGTGTTTGGAAGGGTCAAAGCCAAGTTCTAAAGGAAGGAGCTGGAGAAAGACATCTTAGGCCCCCACCCATCATACCAAACCCAAGGCAGAACACAGGCTTCCTCGGGGTGGATGGAGGCACAGCAAGGCTCACTGCCAGTTTCTAAACCATACAAGTGACCTAAGAAGGGTCAGTGCCCAAGGCTGAGCAGTGCCCTGTAGTCAGGGATGAGCTGGAATGCACGGGCCACGCCCAGGTTTAAGAGAGCTGGGTGCATTCTCCCTAGCCCACACTGTCACCAGATGCACTCCTAATAACTCACTGTAGAGTCCCCCACGCACACACAGTAGTGATCTTAAACACTCACACACAGTAGCTCTGCTATTCACGCGGTCACTCACACACACCCACACTCTCCTAGCCACACTCTATAACACATTCCGACAGTGGCCCCGCTAGACACACACAGCAACTTGCTCACACTGTTCCTACCCTAGACACTCGGTAGCTCAACGCTCTTGCTGGCTCCCCCACACTCACTCTCAGATATTCCCTGGCCCACAGCTTCTTTCCTCACGTCCTTCTTCCCCGGAGAGCAGAGTTAGAAGCATGGGTGCAGCCTCACACACTCTTGTGCGCACAGAGAGCTGTCTGTCCTTGTCCTGGAGCTACACTTGACTGCCTTGCCTCTAGACTCTCACAAGGAGTCAGTGGTGTCCCCCTATCTCTGGGAACCAATTGGCAACTGGACGGAGCTCCTCCCACCCACATAGGCTCCCGAGCTCTTACCTTCCTGTGGCTAAACTATCTTGGAGTGGGTTTTTCTGTCAGCGACTCCAAAGTCGCTTCAGGAAGACAGATTTCATTGGCTAGCGTCACATTTTTTTCTTTAAAGGAAATAGCTTTATTACTCAGGTTACTATGTAACAGCGCCTCAAGGCCAATGCCTGTTAGGTGTCCAAACGTCTATAGTAGCTGGACTGTTAGTGAGTTTACCTGTCAAATTCCACCAGAAAGAAGTTTGTTGAGCATGCTCCAAGACGGTAGCAAGTTAAACAGTAACTAGAATTCTCATGTTTCGTTCTTTGCGGGCTCGCTGGACAGAAACGTTAGACTTCCAAACAGAAAATACATGTTTCGCTGCATTCTTGACATAGCATGGGAGATAAACTGCTAGTTTCCAGAAGTCACACATGACAAAGCAATAAAAAGCTCTGTAAGGAACGTGAGTATCAAGTTCAGTCTCAGCGTGGTCAGAGGCTGCGATTCCGGCAGAGTAGAGGCTGTCTCTTCCCCACTACAGGGGAGTTGTGCTTCTGGTCAAGACATGTGTTTGTGTTTGTGTGCGTGCCTGAACTCACCGCTGAGTGTCCTGCTTAGTCACTGTCCATCTTATTTAGATTTGGCCTCTCACTAACCCTGAAGCTCAGTTTGTTTAGACTGGCTAACCAACAAACCCAGGGATTCTTCTTCGTCTACCCAAAACTGGGATTACAGGAACTGGCTGCCGCGCCCAGCTTTTTATGTGGGTGCTATGGACCAGAACTCAGATTCTCGTATAGTACAGCAAGCATCTTACCAATTGAGCCATCTCCCCACCCCATCTTTGTTTTTAAGATAGGGTCTCATGTAGTTCAGGCTGGAGCCAAACCTGCTAAGTAGCCGAGACTAGACTAACCTTTAACCCTTGACTCCTACTGCTTCTACCTCCCAAGGCCTGGGATGCTGGCTGTAGACTGTCATGTCCAGCTCAGAAACCAGATTTATTTTTAGTGGAGCTAACACCAAATGGAGAAGAAAATGCCCATTACAATTGGTGTGCTGAAGCCAGGTGGTCACGACGTGGCTTTAATCCCAACACGTGGCTTTAATTGGAGGCAGAAGCAGGCAGGTCTCTGTGAGTTCAAGGCCAGCCTGGTCTACAGAGCTAGTTCTAGGATAGCCAGGCTATGAGGAGAAATCCTGTCTAAAAAACAAACAAACAAACAAAAAAAAACCCAATAAAAACAAAATGGTGTGCTGTATGCTACCATATACCATACAAAGGCGAGTTCACAAGATAACACACGTCAGACGGCAGAGCCCCACTAGCCTTGAGACACGGGAACCAGTCCGGTGAGATTGCTTGTTGACTGCCTAAGGATCATTGTGAGCCACGGAGCAGGAAGGAGAGCCCAGTGGGCTCTCAGAGGTGAGAAGATGTCCCCCATAGTTGACTAAGAAGGCTGATGGGGCTGACAGGACAAAGCCCTACAGAGAAGAGAACTTCACAGAAAAAGACCCAGAGACCTGCAGAGATGCCCCCAGGACTGTCAAGTTCATGTGGGAGGAAATCTAGAAGCCTGGACTGAGAACAGCCCCTCAGAGGACCAGAGGGAGCATTTGTTCCTATGACCATGTCCAGCGGGAAACTGCAGAGCTGCAAGAAGTCAGGCCCAGTCCTCAGGAGGGTCTCGCCTCAGTGCAGGGAGGTCACTCACCTTTTACTGGCCCACCTCTGCCCTCCCACTTAACAAGTCTTAACAGGAAGGGCAAACTGTTTGCAATTTAGTTTTATCCTTAAAGAAAACTCTAAAATATCTAGCACCCAGCGAGGCAGAAACAATAATGCCTAGCATCTAACCAAAAAAACGCCAGGCAGGGCTGGGGACGTAGCACAATCGGTAGAGGGCTTACGTAGTATGCATGCCCTGGGTTCAGTTGCCAGCGCACTAAACTCTGTGTGGTGTTGCACACCTGTAATTACTCAGATGAGAAGGCAGGGGGGGTCAGAAATTCAAGGTCATCTTTGGATATATGGGAGGTTAGAGGCTAGTCTAAGCTACATAGACCTTGTATGGGGAAAAAAATTCTCTCCTCCCAAATACCAGACACATGATGGAAAAAAACCCAAACCAAAACCCTAGTCAGTTGAAACTGACTCATAACTGACAAGGATGTTGGAACTATCAGACAAGAACATTAAAACGTACCCTATATCTAAGGATAATGACAGATACCTGTAGGTAAGCCACTTTGGGTCCTTGCTTAGCTTTTCCTTGGCTTAACTTAATGGCTTCACATTGAAAACCCACCAAGTCCAAGTGGTGGTGGCGGTAGTGGTGGTGCATAGACCCAGCCCTCTGGAGGCAGAGGTAGGTGGCTCTCTGTAGCTTCCTCTACAGAGACAGTTCCAGGACAGGCAGAGAAACCCTGTCTGGAGGAGGGGGGAAATCCACCAAGTCCATATCATCCAGGAGCAAGCCCCAGGGTGCCTCTAGCCTGCTTGGCCCAGGTAGGACAACCAGCTCCCAACCCAGCAAGATTAATGTCACCTCACAACCCAGAGGAGCCTGGGAGCGATCAGCACTCATTGTGGGTTCTCAGTCTAGGAAGGGCTCTAGTAGCTGCTGCTGTGGCCAAGGGCCCCCATCTTCCCCCATCTCCCACAGGGAGGTGTCTGCTGAGAGCATAATGGGGTGCCTCATGCCTTGGAATTGGGGGTGGGATTAGTGGGACCTCAGAACAGAGCAGGGGTACGAGGGCAAGCTAAGTGCAGAAGAAAGATGATAACACAGTATTTTTTTTTTTTGAGACAGTGTCTTGCTATTGTCCAGGCTGACTTCAAACTCGGCATCTTCCTGCCTCAGCCTCCTCAGGGTTGGGATTACAGGCACAAGCCACCATGTTCAGAGGAAACAGTTTCTTTTGAACCACCAAGGGGGGTAAATGTTGGGATCTGTGAACCCCCAGATTCTGAATTTCTTGTAAACAATGTGTTATGCTTGCAGCTGCTCTGAGCACGAGACCCTCAGGAGTTCCTGATGGCAGAAGAGTGGTTTCTGGTGGGTTTGGCTGGGACATGGCTATCAGTTAAGGATCCCTATATAAGCTGCCCCTGGACACAATAGAGGGGGCATTCTGGCATCAAGGATGACATGTGTCTGTCTGTGAGTCTTTGTGTGTTTCAGTCTCCAGCCCCTTGCCCAGTTCACGAACTGTACGGTGGCGCATAGAGCGCAGACGGGCGTGGTGCGCTACAGGTAAAAGCTGTGAGAATTCATATCAAGATGCCAACATCTCAAAGCACCTGAGTTTAATCCAGGTCGAGTGGCGCTCTGGGAGCAGTGGGGCCCACAGAGACCTCAGCCATGCAGAGGACACTCACCACCCTGTTTCTGAAGCCTCAACACACAGATTTGGTTCCTTATACCCCTTACCCTCTTTTCCCAGTCCTCCCCACAAGATCAAGGCCCAGCTGTACATCCTGTCACCTAGGGTTGAGGCTAGGGACAGTGAGTGGTGGCACAGCATGGGGGAGCTGGTATTGTGGCCCTGTATTAGTACAGCTTCAGCATATAACTCTAGGAAAATAAATGCAAGAATGACTTTCGCGTGGGCTACATTTCTAGGTCATAGTCACCTCCCTGGATGACAGACCCAGAGACGGGGGAGGGGAAAGCAGAAGGAGAAGGCTGGACCCCTGCATATCCAGGGGTATCCATGTCACCCACCTGTCAGGATCTACTTCACAAGACATAGTCATACCAGCTTATAGGCCCTAAGAGTCCAGGCTAGCCCACCATGCCATTCCATTGCCCAGGTCACCCATGTCTTAAGAGCGGGGTGCCCATGTGAGGGTAATAATTACAAGGAACTTAAATGCTTTCTATTGCAAGAATGATCCCCGGGAATGCGACCTTTGCAATGCTATTTTGTAATCTCCTCATCTTTAAAGATTTTTGTTTACTTAAAGGCCCTACCCCATTCCCAAAATTTAATGGCCAGGGCGGAGGACCCCTTTTCTCATTTCATTCATTTTCTTTGCACTGAATTTTTCCCTCTTGGTTTTTCATTAGTTCTCTGAGAATTCCACACAATGTGTTTTATGCAGTCACTCCTCTCCCCTGACTCCTCCCACACCCACTCCCTTCTCTACCCACCCAAATTTGTGTCTTTTTATTTTAAACCATTGAGCTCAGCTTGCTTTGCTCATGTGTTGGCTATGTGGCCTTCCACTGGAGCATCATCGGCCTACCAGGGGCTACAGTCTTAAAGAAAGCTAGTCCTCATCTCCCAGCCGCTATCAACTGCCAACAGCTCCACTGCTAGGAGTGGGACTCCGTGTCCACCTCCACTCTCGATCCTGGGGTGTGTCCGGCCTGGGCTTGCACAGACTTGGTATGTGCTGTGCCAACCATTGTGAGTTCATATGTGCACCTGTCCTGCTGTGTCCAGAAGACAGTCTTTCCTTATAGTCACCTGTTGCCTTTGGCTCTGACAATCTTTCTGCTCCCTCTTCTGCAATGATCCCAGAGCCTTGGAAGGAGGGGATGTGACAGAGACGGCCCATTCAGGGCTGCGTAAACTGGAACAGGAAGGATTAAATTGAGATAGGGTGAGAGGGCAAAATAGAGGAGGGATCCAGGAAGGGATAAATAACACTAAAGACTTTTCAAAAAAAAAACTTATATGAAAGCCTATTATACATGTTTCTTTTTTTAAAAAAAAATTATATTTATTTATTTATTTAGTATACAATATTCTGTCTTTGTGTCTGCAGGCCAGAAGAGGGCACCAAACCCCATTACAGATGGTTATGAGCCACCATGTGGTTCCTGGGAATTGAACTCAGGACCTTCGGAAGGGCAGGCAATGCTCTTAACCTCTGAGCCATCTCTCCAGCCCCTACATGTTTCTTT